TGCATTTGCACCCACGATTATGCTGTTCTGTTGAACTAGGCCCATCAGAATCGTTTTCTTTGGACACAAAGAACCTAGTTCCTATTTGGAAGGTTTAAAATCTGAAACATAGGTCAGCAATCATTTTTCATACCAAAACACGGGGACATTGAAATTGTCACCACATGGGAGGTCAGATCACAACATTCCCTAAAGTCACCCCCATTCATAAAAGAAATTGTGAAAGCGTTCATGAGACCACGTTGAGTCCTCACGTGCTGCTGGTGCAGTCTGCAGCATTTTTCACTTGATGTGTTTAATTGGGTTCTTACCAAGACTTCTGGACCACTCCAGATCAACAGTGATTTATGTAGGAGCCACTTTGCAAAAGGATCCCTAGATAAAACTTGGCATCAACCCCCACACATTTTGAACCCCCTGGTAACTTTGTAAATGAACTTGTGAGTGTTTCTCTGGTAACTTCCTGCCTACGCGTGATGCTGTTTGATTTGTCAGAAGCTCACCTGTTTCCCTTCTGCTCAGGTTTGATTCTAGATAAGGTACTGGAGGAGGCCAAGCCCTTGACCTCATTGGAGCTGGGAACATACTGTGGTTATTCAGCTGTGAGGATGGCTCGGCTGTTGAAGCCCAGCGCCTGCCTGCTTACCATTGAGTTCAACCCTGAGTTTGCTGCCATTGCCAAGCAGATAATTGAGTTTGCTGGAGTACAAGAGAAGGTACCTCTGATTTGTCTGTGGCTGTTGAAAAAAAGGGCTAAATGGACATTATGACAGAAAAAATGGTAGTGGGGTATTTAAATTATAGCCTTTATGCTGAGATAAACATAGCTATTGCAACACCCTTGGCTATTTCAGCAATGAACAGAGATTGACAACAAGGCTCAGCTCTATGATCAGTGTATTAAGCTGAAGAATGTCTAATGGGCACTGGGTCAGATCATTGCTCCTTTTCACATGCAAAATATTGAAGACAAATCAGTGTTTAGTACAGATGCTCCAGTCAGCTGCTGTTCAGTCCTAAGCTGGGGTCACAAAACTGGTGCGTGTCCAAAAATCAGAGCTAGAACTGGAATTTGGAAGTGCCAGTGACACGAATGAGTCTGACACTTGGGCCAGAGCAAGGCTTGAAAGGGACATGTGCAGAACCAGTGGCCTGAATCTGAAGTCTGAAAACATCTTGTGAGTTTGGCCCATTCCCTAATAATTGGTTATTTCTGTAGGCAGATGACCTGGAGATGGGCCATAGGAGCATGGACCTGGAAGGGGCCTCCTACCTCACTGAATTAAAGTCCCCTGCCATCACACACAACTATCTCATATCATCCTTCTCATCAACTCATCAAGCTTAGTCTTAAAGCTAATTAGGTTTTCACCTCTCCTGCTCCAATTCAAATGTTGCTCCAGAACTTGGCTTTTCTGATCACTAGAAACTGTTCATGTAAATCTCCAGCCTGCCTCCACTCATGGCCAGCTAATCCCCGTTTGTTCTTGTGCCAGCAATGTCCGTCAGCGTAAGCAGTTCTTCTCTGTCTCTCAGGATTTATTTCCCTGATATGTATCTAGAGTAGTAATTCTTAACCAGGATACCTGGAGACCCTTTCAAGGGTGCTCACAAGGTTAGCACTCTCAGGTGTTCAACCACGGTTCGCAAGATAAACCCAGAGGTTTCACAGAGGAATCCGTAGTATTACACCTATTCTGACCTGCTGTGGTCTCTCTGACTTCTTTGTGTCAGAGGAATTTCTCTGCTATTTTTCTGTAGTCAAAAAACAAGTCAAAACGAAGATCTTACATTTTCTGAGGCATGCCTCAAGTCTTAAAGGTTGAGAACCACTGATCCAAAAAACAATAGTCTCCCTTCTCATCCTTCATTTAGCAATTGTTGAACAAGTCATGATCTTTTTTTAATGCCCTCTCCGTGACCCTGATCCTCCCCAGAGCCCTTTTTTTATGGCCATTCTGGTTCAAATCCATCTTTCTCCAGTGTGCATGACCACAGTCTTCCAAATGAGGTGTCACCAGTACCTTGTACAACGGCATTAATACTTCCCTACTTGTACAGAAAACACCTTACTTTATTCATCCTAAAATTGCATTTGCTTTTTTTGCAACTGCATTGACAGTTCATAAACTTTTTTGTGATTAACAAATGCATCTGTTTCCTCCTCTCTTGTTTTCCCCTGATGAGCCTGTCTAACAGCAGAAATTCTTGTTGTTAGCCCCAAGTACATGAGCTTACACTTTGTACTATTCCTGTGGTCGTACTCAAGGTGATTCCATTCTTCCTATCTGAGATTCCTGTTCTCTGTATTAACAACATTTCTGTCATCAGCAGATTTCATTAGCAGACTCTCACTTTTTTGTGCCAAGGTCATTAATGACATATATTAAATAAGATCCCAGATCAATTCTTGAAAAATTCTGGCAAAATTGACAGTTTGGTTTCTCAAAGATCTGTTGTGGTCTCCCCATTAGCCAGTTCCTTGCCCCTCCTGCCCCATCGGACTAGCAGCTTCCCACATGGTGCCACATCAAATGCCCAACTGATATTACCTTGTGGTTTCCTCATTGCACGGTTACCTTTCTGCCTGTCTGCATTCGTTCTTGTCCGCTTAGATTGTCAGCTCCATGGGACCAGGAACATTTTTTTGTTGTGTGCGAGTCTGGCACCTAGGACAGTGAAGTCTGTGCATGAGTAGTGCCCCTAGGGGCTACAATAATGCAAGTAATAAATAGCAACAATCTCACTGAGAATAGCTTGGGTTTTTGGCATCCAATCACAATTTTCTGATCCGTGATCGGTTATTAACTAGTGACCTCAAACAACACTGCTGAAAATGTCACTGTATTATCACAATAGTCTAAGCTAAAACATTGATTCCCTGATATAAACTAGAAGCTCCAAATCAATACTGAAGTTTCACTGACAAAAGATTTGGACTGTATCATTCAGGCTGCTGTGGGGTCAAAGGCAGGAACTTAAGTGTCCTTCCCAATCGACTCCAAACACCGTTCAGTCCTTTTCTTTTTCTTGAACAAAGGTTGAAATAACAGCTCTGCATAAAGTTGCATTTTCCAGCTCTGAGTTAATCTACTGATCAGTTATGATCCATAAGCCAACAGCCAGACTTCTCTGACTTTGTTTTTTTATTCACACCATATAGTACCTGCTTAACTAATACAGGTGCTTCAGTGTCGTTCAGCTTGTGCCAATAAACCTCTAATCAGGATGCAATGGCCCCTACCCTGCTTGTACTCTCTGCTGACTGTAAAGTAGAGCAGAGTGTTATTTTACCTCAAACTGTGTACCAGCCTAAACAATCTCAGTCTTTTTAACCTCCCCTCTGTACGACCTGTTTCCTTTGGGCTAGAAGGCGCGACTGAGATGTGACTGAAATTCCAAGCTAAGTCAAACACTTTTCATCTGTGGATTCCCCTGTGGATAGCAGAGAGCCACATTACCCAACAGAGCCAAGGTCACAGATTTCCTATAATTGCACAGAGAGAAAAAACATTTTGAAAAAAAATAATTGAGTCAATTTATCAAAAAAGCCCATGTGGCCCAAACCCAGCCAGCACAGTTCAGCTGACCTCATACACAAGGGCTATTAACATGATCACTGAAGTCTGACCACAACTTAAGAAGAGCTAGGGGCACCGTGCATAAGAGAGAGATAAAAAAAAAAAAGTGTTCACTTATTAACCAGAGATGAATTTCCTTTTCAGGTTAAAATTCTAGAAGGCCCTTCAGAGGAAATTATCCCACAGCTGAAGAAAAAGCATGAAGTGGATACACTGGATTTTGTCTTTCTCGACCATGGGAAAGAAAGATACACACCAGATACTATCCTGTTGCAGGTGAGTTGAGCCAACTTCAGTCCAAAGAGTCAAGTAGCACATGTCTAGACTTCTGCAAAATCTGCACCCCCTGCATATTTGCGCTCCCCCCATAATATTTGCCAAGTGCCTATTTCCTATAAACGGGAAATATCACACATCACTAGGTCTTGTAGCAAGTACATGGAGATGTGACGAAAGGAAGCAGAACCCAATTCACAGTGGTGCATGAGGCCCTCAACTCCCCTCCATGCTGGTGTCACTGGGAGCTGAGGATACGCAGCATCTTCCAGGGGTTGCTCTGCTATCTCCAGCCTCAGAGCCTTGGTTTCCTGTATGACAGACGTGAAAGAGAAATCCCAACCAGAACTGCCCATCAAAGTCCAGGTCTGGATCTGAACTTCTTTGCTTCAGCCTCTCTGAACCAGACTAACTTAGAACACTTGACCCCAGATGTCTTGAAAAGTGAAGAAGTTCAGATGCCAACCCCTGACTTCAAATTTGGACCCTCTTCTAATATCCTGATGGGAAACTTCCCCTGGCTGTGCTTTCACAGGGATGTGCTGCCACCAGCGCCTCTTGATGAGATTCTCTCCTTGTAACACCCTTTGTCCCAATTTCAACACATCACTTGGGTCTTCTTGCCACCTCTTTGGCTATGGAGCAGCCCTTAGTGCTATGCAGAATTAAACCATCCTGGGCACTCGTTGCAGTTCAGATTATTTTCCATCCACAGCTTGGAGTGAGGAGTGTCAGGCAAAAACGAAGGCGATAGTGTTACAGTTCTGTTGTCGCCATGATGGGATATGCAAGATTGGTTTGCTAATATCTTTTATAGGACCCACAGTGTGGTTGGGAGATATGTTAGATAAACTTTCAGGCACAGTAAAAGAGAACAGCTACTGCGACTTCGTTACAAAGCTAGGTGGCAACAGTAGCAACAGCAAATTGTGGGTTGGTTTGACCAACCGGTAATGACAAACTAGAACTGTTAAGGATCTTGGGGGTAATTCCAAATGGCATCAAAAAAACCCAGCAATTAATCACAGCGTCTATATTTATAAAATGGCACATAAGCAGATATTATCCCAGAGAGCATCAGGAGTGCCATTAAACCTAGAGAGCTGGTGATTACCAAATAGCTAATTAGAAGGAAATGCCAGCTTCAGTTGCAATTACATTCTCCACAAATATCTACCCTCTCTCTGTTTTATGGGGCATGCTCTTACTTTCAGATCAGTCACTACTTCACTGACAGCCTCGCAGTACCCACATCGCCCCTTGGTCAAAGAGCATCAGCTTCAGTGCCCACTAGAATACAGCTGCGGCTGTCTGGTAAACTCCCATCATTTCTCATGTTGCCCCGCTCCTTGTGCAGACAGCTGTTTAAATAGGGAAGGGTTTGCTTGGGAGATGGGTTTTTTTTTTAAAGAAACTCACTACTGAATTTTCCTTTCAGTAACTGGAAGACAGTAACTCTTTTCCTTTCCCCTGAAATGTCTTTCCTCAGCATATATCTTCCCTTTTAAACTCGCTGTGAAACTGCTTCCAAGCTCCCTGGTATTTGGAGGGCTAGAATGTCCTTTTTCAGCACCGAGCCTTCAGAAAACAGCCAAAGCAAAGCTTTGAGTCATTTAGCTCCATCGTCCTCAGCAGTTTCTGGTTGCAAACCACAGCACTGTTTTGCTTACTCTAACAAATGAATTCAGTGCAGCAGTGCTAGGGGATTTTAGCTGAGATAGCCGAAGTAAATACCCACGAGGTTTCCCCCAAGCAGAAAGAACATGTTGCTATGGCATTTCTAATGAGCATTTCAGATGGCCCATGTTGTTCCCCCTTTCCCACAGTGCTGGAGAAAGGTCCTTGACACAGGGAGCATGCACCAGATTTCAGTGGCGTTGTGATGATACAGCAGCTCGGGGCGGGGAAATACAGCTGGAGAAATGCCATTTCCACTCCCGGGTTTCTAATCCACTTAGTGAGAATTACAGACCAGGGGACACACACTGCAGACCCATTGCTTCTGTTCTGCCTTGTGCAACATTAAGGGCCCAGCATGGTGAGCTAACAGCTTCTAGTCTATCCAGTCTGCTTGATACAGATGACCTTGTAGGGACCCAAATCATCCATAGTGTCCTGAAGCTGTTAAGGAGCACCCTAAAGAGTGTCCAGCAGCTGCTTCTTGTTACTGTAGCCAGGAAATGCTGCTGGGGCTTTTATTGCTGGTAAGCTCAGGGAGGCAATTTCTGTTCATTTGTTCAGGAAAGATACAAGAAAATACGGTCAGAGAACTGCTTCTGAATATCACTGTGTGCTGCACGATGATAATAGTGCCGCAGGGCCCCTTGGAGCATGCCGGCCTGTCCCTTTGGGGCCCTGCCACCCAACAAAACAACAGGGCAGCTGGGCCGAGGGTCAGCAAGCCAAGGAGCTCTCAGTTTTCAGTGCGCTTTTTCTCATAGTAGTGTTGGTGCCTGACTGAGGCTGTCTGCACCAGAAGGCTTCACAAACATGTGTGGGGGCTTTTAACCTGCTTATGCTAAAATGCTTTTTCCATGCATTCATGTAACACATGAAGAAAGCCCTGAGACATTGTAGGAAAACCCTCCAAATGTTACCCAGCACAGCGCTGTCTTCTGAACTCCCCCCAGAGACACAGCCTTAAACCATGCTAGGCCCTTGGGCATTGCAACAGGCTGTTGAATCTGAACCCTAATGATGTCAGGCTCCCATGAGCACCATTAAGGCTTTTACTGCTGATCATGTTAAAAGAAAGATCCAGCTTTTCAGATCTTTTTTGAAGAGCGACCCCTCCCTCCCTGTCAAGCTTATATTAGAACCTGTTACTTCGGGAGCTCATTTGAGGATGAAAAGTTTCTCATGAAAGCATATTGCACATGTACTAAAAAATACCTTAGCCCCTTCTACAGCAAAGAAAATGACTTAGAACAACTCTGTCTTCTTTCTAGGAATGTGGCTTGCTGAGGAAGGGCACGGTTATCCTGGCTGACAATATAATCTGTCCTGGGGCTCCTGAGTTCATTAAGTACATCCGCAATAACAGTCATTTCGAGTGTACCAACTACCCGTCTCACCTGGAGTACATGAAGGTCAAAGATGCCATGGAGAAGGCCGTGTTTCTGGGATAAAATGAAGCCCTTGGTACCCAAGTGCTGTTTCAAAAATTGTAAATGCAACTGCACAGGTTAACTGTGTTCGTGCTTCAAGTTTAGCTTTCTGTATTTTAAGGCCTGTAATTAAAGCAAATTCTAACAAATGGAGTTTAGAGGAGGGGGAAACCAAGATTTAGAGTGGGAGTATAAACAAGGTAACTAGCCAAAGATGAGATGGAGAAGCCTGCTTTTATCTTTTCACGTGGCCTCCCCCACCCTGGATAACACTTCCCTTAAGTCAATCTCTGTGTTGCCAAACAGCAAAAATAATCTTTTTATTTTGAGTTCAACCCCCTAAGAGCCAGGAGTGAAACAGAAAAATCACAGCAGCTGCTGAGAGCTTGTGTCCCACAGCCAAACAGACTAATTGCTCTTGAGAAAGAAACACCCCGTTGGCAGGGAAGGAGTACTTCAGCAGCACTGATTTTGCTGAATTACCGGCAAGGCGCTGCTGGGAAGAATCCTACAGTTACACCACAGATATTCGAGGGCAGCTACTGGTAAAACAACACTGTGGCCTGTGCTGGAGGAAAGGCAGACTGGGACTGCCTGCTAGCAGGGGCTGGCATTGGGAGGGAGAAAAGACCGCTGCGGGTGGTGAAACCCAACTGGACAGTGGACAACGTGGTAGGTAGCAAGGAGGGCAAGGCTGTAAGAGCTAGATGAGCCAAAGGATACGTTCGCAGAAGACAGGGAACAACTTCTTTTAACAAAGTGCTCAAACTACATAAACTGCCAAGACCTTGTTCAAACACCATTTTCCAACCCTTTGCATAGTACCTAAGAGAACTCACCTCCTTGGGGGGCAGGGCATGTTTCTTCCCTTGGGTCAAGTGCTGGGTAACCAGAAGGTGCTCTCTACTGGGACACAACAGACTGTGCCTTTCTGTACACCCTGGGTAATATTAATGCTATAGTAAAGTGCTGTCAGTACTCAGTGTTAGCGTCATCAAGGTACGAGGCCGCACTCCAAGTAACTTTTCTCTCCTGAATGGTGCACTAATTCAGTGGCACGTCTCAGAGTGCCCCTCGATGTGGTAGAATGATACAATGTTCACATTCGTAAATAAAAATAAGGAGGAAAACGACTTGTGCCGTTACTGAGCAGGAGCATGAGCCACCATTTTGCTTCACATGGACTCTGGCCAGCTTCAGGCACTTCGATCCATGGTTCAGCAGCAGAAATGAACCCTAGTGTCAGCACTCTGGAGACACACCATCCCCTTTCCTATTTTGGAGTTGTACCAGTATATCTTTGGCCATCTCCTTTTGTGGGCTACTGCACTGAGGCATTGTTGATTCTGGAGAGAGTTATACCTCCAGGCCAGTGACAAAAATGCCCTATGGGACAGGTTGGGAGGTCAGACTGAAGGTGAACAGAGCAAACCATAATAACCCAATAAGCTTTCTTGCAAAGACCCATGATGAAGCAAAACCATGGGAGTAGCTAGTTATTATAGCTCAGAAAAGCCCATGGCTTCTCAAGCTGCAAGAGACTAGTGGCCCACAGTCCAGATTGCCTCCAACCACATATACTGCATAGGAGAAGGTGAAAAACCTCAGCACCCAGAGCAACTGTTCAGTGCTGTAACCGTGCATGAGTGCATGTGCATGTGCAGTCCTTTTCTGAGTTTCCACTTCACAATCTGAGATTAGCATAAAGGACTTCTAGCAACGTGCATAGCTGCACGTGCAGTGAGTCACCATGGAAGCAACACACTATCATCAGCCCACAGTCTTTCAAATATAAATTGTTTGTAAAGCTGATTTTAAACAGTCTGCAAATATTTGCAGAGACGAGAACATTTACAAGCCCATCTACATCCTTGCGCAACTGGTCAGGGTCCGCGGGGGGGCTGGGCAATGCTCATAGGGACACAAAATATTTTTCTGTGTGTCTTACAGGTTGTAACTGTGGCAATCCTCTTCTGTTTTCAGCCTACTTGCCTGTGATTAGATTTAAGCCGTGGCATGTGGCTGTCACGGCTTAAATGGGTTTGATGTCACTGATGACATCAAACCCATGTCCAGGGCCACATGCCCCTTCTGCTCAGAACTTCCCTGTTGGGCTAGTGCTGCATGCAAGAGGTCTGAAGCCGAACAAAATACTGGGAGATCATGTGCAGGTCAAAAGACGCAGCCCTTTTCTCTACCCACCTAGAAAGAACCAGGGAAAAGTGTTCCCACGTCTTAGCCAGCAGGACTTTAGCTTGCTCATGTGCCCATGCCCTGAGCCAAGTGAGTGACACTGGCAGGGTTTCCCTGGTCCCAGTCCTGTGTGCAATGCAGAAGAACAAGGCCAAGTTCCCCCCACAGACAGTCTGCAGGTAAGATACACCTGGAAATTTTAACCTTGCTTGTGTCCCTCTGACTTTTCATTTCCTGGTCAACCTGTACCACAACCTGGACACTGCACGTTAACTACGAGCAAGGCTTTTACTGCAAGGAGCCAAAAATCCTGGCGACCACTGTTGCAACGATGAGCTCTTCACTCAAGTTTCTGTTGAGATTCTGAAACAGGTGAGGGCTGTGATATTTCATGCTCATTGTTCCCAAGTTAACCTTTCACCTCTGGGACTTGGCTCTTCAAATCTTCCCCAGCTGTGATGAGCTGGAAATGAAATTACTCTGACAGCCATAAAAGGTCACCTGTAGAAACAACATGTTTGTCTGGGCTCACTGTCTTACCTGCCATACCTACTATTTATTGCCGCATAATGCATCCAAAGAACAAACAAATCTCAGATTAATCACTGCAGCAGAAAGCTGGAGCTACCTCTGAAGAGTCAGTCTGAGCTGAGGAGTCCTGCCCCTCACCACATGACTTCCAGAATCAGATGCTTCCTTCTGCATAGACAAGAACAGTTGGTGATTTTACATAATTTTCAGGGATGCCTTCTGGACATCTGTGATCTAGACATTTGAAGATAAATTCCCCACTGCTGCTATTAGCAAACATCCACAGCTAAAGGCTTTTGGACCCTCAAGACAGTAACATGGGCAATGGTACAATGAAGTTTGAACACGTATTAGATGTTTGGTCTCTGACAAGTAGTAATATTTAGTGTTTAACTCCTGGAGACAACCCCATCTCCACTCATTGCCAGAACCCTGCTGCGTGCTATTACTCCTACAGCTTTTTGCTGGACTCTTGTTTTGCTTGAGTAGTGAAGGTCAGCAAGTGTGATGGCACATCAGTCTGCCTGTTGATCTTATCAACACTGACGAACTTGTTGGGGAGAGTCAGCCCCTAAGGGTGTTGCTCCGGTTTGTCAGTGGTTGGCCATAATCTGTAGCATCCAATTTATCTTTTCAACATCTGGGCTAGGTCACCCTCCAACGCAGCAGCAAAGCAATTATCCAGCATCCCCCAACAGCATGGCAAGAGAAAAGGGTGAATGAAGCTTTCAACAAAGGCTTGTGTCTCGCTCCAGCAAATTTATGAGACCTCAGTTATCTGTGTGTGTGCATGTGTGTGTGTAAATAAGAAAATAAACAAACACTGTGCACACATTCATACACATTCACGTGCATTTTGCAGACATGTAAAGTATAAAGGTTGTGTCAGCATAAGCTGGGAAAGGTCCATTATCTCACGAATGGGAAAGCCATCAGGAAGCTATCCTTGCCAGTTCAAACGTGCAGTCCTTCAAACAGACCTTTCTTTTTGTATCTGAATGAAACCATGATCTACACTCAAGCCATTACATGCGTTTCTGCTGCAGCAGATGGCCTCTGCATCCCAGTTTGTAGCTGTAGCACATTACAGCATGTACTGCCATTGTCTTCATTACCACAGGCCTTTTCCTACCTCACTCAATGCTGGATTGAGCTAGGTTTCAAGAACCCCGTCCAGGGCGAATGCTGTTACAAGGCCGGGGAATATTTCGGACATCTGATGTAATAAACAAAAATAACCAGTGGCACGTGTATTCTTTCCAGGCATGATTTATTGAAAACACACCAAATTGTTAGTTATCCTACACACCTGGTTGCTAACAAGCAGTCTACTTGTCTGTGTTACAGAAAGTTCCTATAATAATACATTCTGTCATGGTAACATTTGTTCTATGAAAAGCATAATCCACCTTTTTTTCCCCTTCTTAACTCTTAAAATCAAACCATTCTACGTTTCAGTTTATAGTACAGTGTAAATACAATGCAAAAACCCACCAGTCTAAACTACAGAGATAATGTTGAGTAGTATTACAGAAAACACATTGGTGATTTGTTTTTTGTTGGGTTTTTTTAAATTTTTTTTTTATTTTCCTACCATGAAAATTTTAAGGCACATGATAGTTACAAACACATTAGCTACTAATTACCAGTAAGCTTCTTAGTCTAGTTTTGTTGTTGTTGTTTTTAAGGATGATATCCTCTGCCAGGATGGCAGGCTTTGCAGTAGATGCTCCTTCCTCCTCATCACCGTGAGATCGCACTTCTGAACATCCTACCCCAATGGAAAATTTAAGATAGAAAAAAAAAAGGTTCATAATACCTTCCCTTAATACACTAGATTAGTTACTGTACCGGTAATCAGAGACAACCTCTGTGAAAGGTAGGGAAACACCAGATTTTAGGAGCATTGAAGTGAAGAGACTTTGCCAGAAACTATACATATATAAACACCGTCAGGAGTATGTGAGAGAGACCCAACCCCCAATGCACAAAAAAGTATGGGCTCAAGATATTGGCACGTTATGGTTTTCACAGAAAGAGTGAGGACATGAGCAGTTTTACAGACAGAAGGTATTAGAACCAACTCTCATTAGTACATCCACTGGCCCTGGAAGCTTCGCCTACTCTATCTAGGGTTTTATAATGTGCTCACCTTTCATTGGTAGCTGAGCCAAAACCACACAATAAGCTGCAGGTAACTAATGAAAGGGGCTAACTTCGTCCTAAAGCTCCAGGAGTTGCAGCAGGATGAAAAAGTACTTTGCATGCCACACTTCACCTTTCTCATCAGCAGTGGCAGGAGCCGACTACATTCGTGGAAGCAAACGTGCACACCATGGCTTTCATGTGCCTCCCTGTCCCGGCACCAAACCAGGCCCTTTCACAAGGCTTCAACAGCGTTAAGGAGACACAAAGTTGCTTTGAGAAGCATTGGGGGAATCCACGGGTAGCTGAAAGACAGCACAGCTAGGTCTATGCCACATGCTGGAGGCAGTATCCCTGGGTAGACGAAGCAGAGCTGGGGCAAGCAAGTGGTGTGTCTGCAACACAGTGTGCTCCATGAACCTACGGCTGGAAAAGTTGCCCCAAGGGACTGTTCCAGCCAGTGTTAGCAACAGCAGTCCTGGAAATGATCCAAATCTTGGACTCGCACATGGCTAGCCGCTTCAGGAACAGCACACCAGAAAACCAGCTCAGAGCCTTGCCTTTGCCCACCCCTCCTGGATCCTGCACTGAGCACAACCAGCCAGACCCGGGGACAGGAGCCTGCAAGTGCAGCAACCTTCTGCCTCCCTACAGCCACTGCTCAAACGTGCAGCAGGCAAAACTACAACCCCAGGCCACAGCAGCTCCAGCAGTGCTTGGTGACCAACGCTTGGTGGTCTCTCGTCTCCTCCCTGCCTTGGAGACTCAGGACATACCCCACATTATCACAGCCTTTGCTTGGGCAGAAGGGCTCCCTCCTGCTTTTGTTTAGCAAGAAACCTGCATCCAGTAGTCTGCTTGCTGCTCCATACACACTCCCCGCTACAACCTGTGGTGCCTTTTCAACCCCTCACACCTCTCTCTGGTCCGATGCCCGCCACGGCCCACGGTGCCGGAGGCTGGAATGGGTGGGAAGGCAGCGAGAGGCTGCGTGCTCCATCACAAGCTCTGGAGGAACCAAAGACCTAAACTGGGGACACTAGATCTGCTTGACTTCAGGCCTGTTTCTTGCACATGCTACTGTGTAATCACATACCTTCCTTTCCACGCAAACCCAGCTAAAACATCCACTGCTGTTTTCATCCGCATCCCATCTCTTCTCAAGTGTGGCCTGTCCATCCTTGGCGGGGAACAGCGAGAGTCATAACGACACACGTTCTGACAGGGCCAGTACTCTAGGGACTTACTGGCGAGCCGCCGCTGCCAAAAATCAAGCCTGCCCCAGTACATTTCTGAGAATAAATGTCCCTGCAACCTGGCCTGCTGAGCCAGTCACTGCAATGGGCATTGCCTGTCCTGTGAGGCCCTGATCCAAGGGGATGACAGGGCAGAACAAGAGTCCCTCTGCCTTGGCCTCTGGCTGGTGGGAGTGCATGCGATTCAGCCCTAAGACTTGCCTCCCCACTCAGTTGTCTAAGGCAGTGGTCTCCAAACTTTTTTGATTGTGCACCCCAATCAGTAAAAAATTTTTGAGCACGCACCCCCCAATATATGTAGTAACCGGGCACATGTAAACTGCAATAGAAGTCCTAATATTTTCTTCCCCCACCCCAATGGATCGTCTTGCGTGCACCCTCTGGGGTGCGCGCACCCCACTTTGGAGACCACTGGCCTAAGGAACGGCTTGGGGACCAAGATTGCAATGTACACCATTCATTTCTTGTTATTGCTGCATGTCCCCAGTGAACCTTTGCTGTGCCGAGCGTTGGCTGAGCCACGTGATGCCCGTGAGCCGTCCTGCCACTCCCAGCTGACGTTTCCCTTTCGGGCAGCCGTAGCAGTGGCTTCGGAAACGCACAGGAAACAAAAGGAAAGAGCAACTGGTGCTAATGGTTCTCAGAAGCTGGTCTCATCTCTTCTCATCTACGGGGGTGGATCTGATGGCAACAGAAAGGACCTTTTGGGGGCTAACTCTGCTTCTCAAAGGCCCCGCAGTGGTTTTCATTTGGCCCATTATTGACAGAAAAGGCCAGCTGCCCAACTCGGCTTCTGATCTCGAGGCTGAATGTCCCCGTAGCATGTGGCTGTTTCACTTTGGGACTTGCTCTGGGTAGGAGTTCATGCGAGTTTAATGGCCTCTGGGTCCCTCCCCTGGTCCAGTCCCTGCAGCTGTGGCTCTCATGCCATTTTCTCTGCTCCCCTCTTGCTGGCTCTTGGATTATGATACGATTAGATGCTGTAAAGTCTTATCAGAAAAGTCTTAAAAGAGTTAGCTTATGCTTTTCAATGATCTCCTGCTCAGACTCCTTTGGTAAATACCGTGATAAAAGCAACCTGGGACTTGCAGATCGCAGGGCCCCTCTGTCGACCCTCCCTTACTAATAAGCTACAAAGCAGGTTCTGTTGCTAACTGCTGGAGAAAGAGTTTAAAAAAATCCTTTGATATACAAAAAGAATACACCAAGTACAGAAACAAAAGTGTAGAAAACTCTTCTGCCTAACAGCCGTGTTAAAAGAGTCTCCGCTTATCGGCAGGACAAGTATGAAAAGAGCACCATTGTTAGAATATATAGTAAAACTAGGTATCTGGTTTCACTCACCACACTTTATGCCTCGGTGTAGAAAAATGCGTCCCCAGTTCCAATCCAAAGAGTTACAGATGACTCTCACTTTGCTTCCCCAGACCTGCTAAGCATCTTTGGCCCAACATGACTCTCATGAAGGTAAAAGTAACCAGTCACTGCAACCTGACTTTGCTCCCAGCAATGTCACTGCCCTCAGGACCCAGGAGTCACCCTCCCGTACGTAGGTTGACGATGGGGAGTCGGGGGAAAAATTCACGTGCAGGTCATTCTAACTGCTGACAGCTTCTGGCATCGGTCTTTCCCTGAATCAACAGAAATGCTTCCTTCTCCTGCAAACTACTTTACATGGTTTTGGCAACCTATCCTCTGCACAACAATATATATATATTTATATATATTTATTTATTTATATATATGTATTCATGTCAAATTTTGTTATACTCAAGAAGATACAAAGCTCTTGACGCTTGCTTTTTTTTTTAGTTTTTTAAATTTTTTTTTTTTTTTTACAAAAAATTTAGATGCTTACTATTACAGTAATATTTTTAGGGGTTTATGTCTGGGGGGGGTTGTTCTTTTTTTTTTTGGTTTGGGTTTTTTTTTATTCTTTTTTCATTTTTAAATTACAAAGGAAACAGCAGGCACTGAAAACCCCAAATTAAGTTTGCTTGATTCAAAAATGTGCTTTCAATCACACTGGCTTTAGGAGCTTGTCAGAGTAAACGTAGCAACCGACCAACAACAGAAACTCAACAAACAAAGCAGAAAGCGTCCGCTACTACGTGAAAAAGAGTAGACTCCCGTTGTCCCCTGTCACCCTCCCTGGATCAGCAACCCAAGGAGGCCAAAGATTTGCATCTAGTACACTGCATCACCAGATACCGAACATGCAAAACGAGTTCTTGTCGGGTGAACAGTCTCCCCTATGCAGACAGCCGACCGGCCTACTAGGTGCCTTGAAGCAGACTCTCTGCAGCCAGTTGAGTGTTACCCTGACCAACGTGAGCACAACCTCAAAATGAAAGAAACAGTACAAAACCATGATGGTGATGATTTTTCTGGGAAAAAAATACAGTTCCCTTTGTAGCACTCTTCAAGATCTACAGCCAAAACCAAACCTGGATCCCATAGCAATCATGTCTATTATTAAAATATAAAGGAAGGAACCACCTAAAGCTTCCCGCGTGTTCCCATTTCACCTCCCTAAATGAGGAAACAAGCTTCTGTTTCTCTCCCAAGTGTTTCCAGCTATGGCAAAGAAATGATATTTAAGGATTCAGTCACCATTAACCCAACATTGATACACTTAAAAATAAAAACTCCTTACTGTGAACATCAGGAACAGAAAAGATAAACAATCAGCCAGCTCCATTTCTTAGCATAGTTTTCTGAATTAGGGACAGTGAAAACTTCAATGAACTGTTTACATATGTGGAAGTAAAAACAGAGCCATTGCAGAATTCAAAAGGCAGAAGTATTGTACACCAGATAATAATGATAATATAGCACAGTGTGATATCGCTTAGTCTAATAGCAGATTATACAGCTTGCATCAATTTCTCTCCAGTTCATTCAATCGTCATTTAATAGTTTCTGTTTTTTCTCTTTCATTAAAATCCAACAAACCCAACTCCACATTCCTGTACTTCTTGTGGAAAAAACAAAAAACAGAACACAACCTCAATATTAGTCAAAAACCCCTAAATAAAATTTTTAAAAATTGAAATTCACAGTTCAAAAACAAAAACCCCCAAAAGAAAAGTGCTATTGTCTTCACGGCTACACCTAAGGGAGATTTCAGATATTCTGCAGTTCCTCTTTCACTTGCAAAGTCATCCTTTTCCCCATCACATGACCTTCTCTTCTCATGCTCGGCACCAACATCAAGAGTCATCTGAGAACCTAACCAGTTAGACGTAAGCTTGTCTGTTGTCTTCGAGGGGGTGGGAGGTGGGGGCGGGGGGCGGCTATGTCTGATGGGAATATAACTGAGTTTTAAAAGAGCAAATTGTCTTCCTGTAAGGCATGGTGCTCCAGGGTTGGCTGATGGCAGTCGGCTGCGTTTTCTCCCCACACCCTCCTAGAACCTGCAGACTGTTCAACGATGCAGCGCCCTCTGAATCTGAATGGCAGTGGTGATATATGAGATCCTCTGTGTTGGTTCAAATATTTTTCCCCTCGATTAAAAAAAAAGGTTGTTGGACTCTAGCCCTGCAAAATAAAGGCAGAGCCGATTAATAGGTGAATTTAATACACCAGTGTCTGCAAGCTCCAGCACAGGAGTATGAACAAAGGCAACACAAGGCTTGGAAGCTACAAAGGCCCATCCAATGCCAGAGATCCTTAATGGGGAGGCACTGGGGAAAAAAGGAACATTTAATTAAAAACAGCCACCCCCCACACCAATACCTTCTCTCCTTTGCGGGAACACATGGAACTACTACGCCTGGTCAAAGGCGTAGATCTCAGGCATTTAGAGCAAGAGAGTGTGATTTCCTAGTACAACATGAAGCCCCGCAAGACTGAGCCTGGCTGGAGGACCACTGCGGCAGAAATACTGAATATTCAACGGCAACACTAGTGCTCCCTGAGCTTCATTCACTCAGCAGGGAGGTGGGGTGGATTTTCGGTGCAGCACACAAGATGCACAAACACCAGGAGCCGTGTGTCTTCCCTATGCAGGGGCGATTTTCACCTCTCTGCAACGGGAACTTCTCTTGCATAAGGCCGGAGGATTCCTAATGTGCCCCATGGGGAAGTGCCACCATCCAAAACTTCTGGCCTCTGAGGATCCAAGGAGGTGGAGTGGTTTCATGCTCTGGCCTTTCACCTTGAGGGAGCTGGGCTCAAGTCAAGTGAGGAACCACGATGGTCACACTGCAGCTCCTTCTAGCATGGGCGAGGGTGGCCCACGGGAATGGTGTCACTCCTCAGGACCGGAGCAGCAGAGGCAAAGGGCTGGGAGCGCCTTTGGAGGATGCCACAACATTTGGGTCCCTGATGCCCCTTTAACGGCAAGCCAGAGATTGCCTTTCCCCACCCGTTTCAGGTCTCAGAAGAGGAACAACATGAGCCTAAATTTGAGCCTTCAAAGATTTAGACTCCAAAGCTCCCTGCTAAAAGAGTCACCAGGAGGCTGCGACATGCAGAGATGCACACTGTCGCTGGGGGTTATTGGTGTTACCAAGTTCCTCTATTAGCTATGCCGGAGCTCCCTGCCACTGTGCGCACCCCCCAGGGAGGCATGAGGGGCACGTGCCCCCTTGGATTTGTGCGTGGGATGAAGGTGGGCTCCCCGCTGCGGGCTTAGGGTCAGGGGCTCTGCAAGCCTCTACCTGGCAGGGGTGCTGGACCAGGGCTGGGCTCGGGGTGGGTGATGGCGGTTCTGGGAGGGGTAGCTATGGGGGAGCTATAGGGAATTTTGGGTGGCCATAGCTCCCCAACCCCCCTGTAGAGAAGTGCTGCAAGCAGGAGCGGTGCTAGGGGAGTTGAGGGGGGGGATATTGCCACCCCAAAATTCCCTGTAGCCCCCGCATAGCTACCCCTCCCAGCACCAGCACTGCACAGGTGAGTGCACTCTAAGCCCAGCCCTCCCACCAGGAAGAGGCCGGCACAGCCCCTGGCCCTGAGCCCATAGCAGGCAGCCCACCCTCCCCCTACCCACAAATCTGTGGGGGCACATGCTCCCCCAGGGGTGTGCACAGCAGTGGGGAGCCAGCCTCCCTCCCAACCTCCCCTCTTCCATCCCGCTTCCAGCCCTGGGGTCCCATGCACCACCCTGGCTGGGCAGCACCTGCCCCTGCCCCACTCCCTTGCTCCCTTACCATGGGGGCCCCGATCTCCCCCGAAAAGATTTACCAGCTGTATGCTGCTCTCCAACTGCCCTGCTGTAGTCCTGGCTGCATGTATGTGGCATTTATTGGTGACATTAATTGGCTACAGCTGCCAAAAATAGCTGATAGCCGATAATGTTAACTTTCCTTTTACTGGTGCCAATCTGATATGCAACAATGGATCTGTCGCTGCTCCTCTAAAGCGGGCCCACAACTTTGATTTTGCCTGGGGCCCCAATAATCTTAATCCGCCTCCTAATGCCTCTTTCTCTGGACTGGGGTTTCCTCCCTGCTGATGAATATAATTTCCAGGTGGAATAAAAAGGCCAGACTGCCATGCTGGGCCTGGGAAC